CCCTGCTCATCTCCTGTTTCTGAAAATCCAATTACCTGTCGCGACTCTTCTCTGCATGGCCGTCCTGTGCCTCCCCCCCACGCAGTGGTCACAAGGAGCTTGCAGGTCCTGCTGGCTTAGCCAGGGCCCTCTGCGATGGGGCAGAGCAAACAGTAGGTTCTCGCCTTGCTGCCCACCCCGACCCTAAGCCGGCCCCCAGGCGCCCCACCGCCCACCCCCTGTGGCCATCTACATGAAGGCAAAAGTCCCTCACCCTGGAGACTCCTCGCTGCTGTGCAGCCACACACAGCCCTGGAAGCTCCAGGCGGCGGGGAAACTCTCCGAGTCATCTCTCTTGTGGCGTGCAGGAAGCCAGGAGCAGAGGGTGACCCTGGGAGGCGGAGTCTCCAGCTCAGAATCAGCGCTGGAGCTGTGAATTTGCACGTGTTTGCATTTGCATAAGGAAGTCCCCAGAAGACTCTAGAACCTGCTTCCAGGCGTGTTGGGCGCCAGGGCCCTGGGCGGCAGGAGCGGGCCTGGGAGAGGTGCTCGCTGTCCCTTTTCTCTTTAAACTTTGAAACTTTGAAGCTTTTTTCCTATAATCAGTCACTATATAAGCAGTCACCCTCCTGAGGGTGGCGGGGGGCACTGGGGTTGGGTGAGTCCAGGTGTGCACAGGCCCCTGTGACCCATCCTTATCAGGTGCAGGTGACACCCCCATCCCTGTCCCCCGCCCCCAGGAGCCAGGCTGCGGCTGCCCCAGGTTTGGCAGGGTGCCAGCCTGGAAGGTCAGCTGGAGAGAGGCCTCGGGTCGAGAGCTGAGGGTGGCCTTTGGAAGGGGACCTGTCGTGCCCTTGCTGTCCCATTGTGCTGAGGACAATGGGGACCGTCTCTGCTGGCACCCCAGGAGCTGAATGGGGTCCCTCTGTCCATAAGAAGCAGCCCGGGGCGTTTGCAGCCCCTGCCTTGGTGGCCGGGCCCAGTGGGGGGCCAGGTCTTTGGGGAAGCTGAAGAGCTAACTGGGGAGGCATCTGCCCTGTCTCCTTGTCCTCTCTGAGCCTCACCCCAGCACCCCCACTCCTGCATTTGCTCCCTGATTTGACATTTGTGATGCCTCTGCCACGTGCCAGGAGCTAATGCCCTGGCCGCTTTTTGCTGCCCTCCGGGATGGCTATTGCTGTGCACAGATGGGAAAGCGAAGGTTTGCCAGGTCCTGGACTGGCCCAGAAGATGCAAAGTCCAGCTAAATCCAAACAGGGTGGACTCGGAAGCCCCGATACCAGCTTCCTCTGGGCAGGCCCGGCTCACTGGCAGGGCGCTGCCTCACCCCCCTCCAACCTACAGGGACCTGAGGGGCTGGGCTCCCTCAGTCCTGCAGGGCAGCAGCCACAGTGGGTGCCCCCGCGGAGCCCGGCGGAGTCCTGAGGGCCCGGAGGGAGCACTACGGGCTACTGAGGGCGCTGCCCACGTCCTGGGGAAGCTCACGGCTCTGCATTTGCAAACACAGACACTGGCCAGTTCCACAGCCTGGGAGGCGGGGAGATGAGAGAGGCAATTTGGGTGGAGTGAAGTGGGGTTTCCCTGGTGGGAAAGGCAGTAGGTAGAACTGTTACTTTAAATAATGCTGCCTACAAACCAGAAGAACTTAAGTCCCTCAGGAGGGAGGACCGGAGAGGGGAGGTGGGTGGCCGGAGGAGGGAGAGGCCTTGGGAGGACCGGAGGGGGGCAGGAGGGTGGCCGGAGGAGGGAGAGGCCTTGGGAGGACCGGAGGGGGGCAGGAGGGTGGCCGGAGGAGGGAGAGGCCTTGGGAGGACCGGAGGGGGGCAGGAGGGTGGCCGGAGGAGGGAGAGGCCTTGGGAGGACCGGAGGGGGGCAGGAGGGTGGCCGGAAGAGGGAGAGGGCCTGGGCAGCTCTGCTTCGTGGGGCCAAGGAGCCAGGCCCCGACCTCGGGCACCTGGCACCCCCTCCTGCTGGCTTCCCGGAGGGGCAGCCTGCGGCCAGCCGGCGTTCCCGGGGCCCCAGGCAAGGCCTGGGGGTTCCTGTCTGAAGCCAAAGGACCTGGGCTTTCTGCTGAAATCTTTTATTAAGGTTCAAATTTCACCACACATCACGAGCATCAGCAAACAAACCCAAAACCAACGAGTCCCCGGTGCCTTTTCCGTCATGTGTACTTAAATTATATACTCAGTGTGCATTTTTTAATTTTATCCTTAAAATAAAAGCAATATATGCATACAATAAAGCACATTCTGATGCCATCGAAAGACATAAAATCGCCAAGCAGAGGTTTCCCTCGCTCCCCATCGCAGCCACCTCTCCCAACAGGGAGATACCGTTCCTGGAGCATCCACTTAGAAATGTGTTCTGGAGGTGCCCAAGTGGTGTGTGGTTATGCATGTGATCACGTGTGTGTCTGTGCACACGCATGCACGTGCAGTGTCATGTGTGTTTGGGTGCACTGCGCTGCGGCCGTGTGTGGGGATGTGTGTGTGCTTATGTGCACACATGCATGTGCACGTGCTGCAGGTGTGTGATCGTGTGTGTGGCCATGCAACGCATGTACCCACGGTGTGGTTGTGTGTGGCCGTGTGTACTGCTTGTGCGCACATGTGTGCGCACGTGCTGCAGGTGTGTGGGCATGTGTGCGCGTGGCCGCGTGCATGCCTGTACACACGCTGTGGTTTCGTGGTTGTGTGTGGTCGTGTACACGCACGCACATACGTGCACACACACGCGCTGTTTCCATTTACCCACGTGGTATCCGGCCATTCGCACAATCCTTTGACTTTTTCCTAGTCCCCACTCAAATTATTTTACTGGGCAGTGAGCAGCACGCTGAACCTGAGGGCCTGGCGGCCGTGTCCACGGCAGCGGGCAGGCGAGCCGACATTGTCCCAGCGCCGTGGAGCTTCTGGCTTCCCGGTTTGCTCCCCAGACATACCCCAGCCTCTCCCTACCCCCCCCCTCCCGGCGGATGTCCTTGTTCTTCCCACGGTCGCGGCCCGTTCCTTTCATCGCGATGGGCATTCAGCTTGCTCCCCGCTTTTGCTCATCCTGCAGCTCCAAAGCCCGCCGCCGCCCCGCCCCGTGCCACGGCTTGTGTGCCACTTACAGCCACGGAATTGCTAGTAGATGGAGAAAAACCAATTTCCAGCCGGCCGGCCTCTGGGGCAAGAGGCTAGCGTATTCTAATTGTGTCAGCTCCCGCCCGGTGGGTGGGTTTGCACTGCCGCCCCAGGCCCGCCTCCGCCCGGCGCCTGCACACCGGCTGCCGTCAGAGAACGCCGGGCCATCGGCTGCGCGGCCCTTCTTTCATCGTGATAGAGGTTGAGCCTCTTTCTCCGAGTTTATTGTCCAATTCTGTTGATTTTCCTCACCGTCGCGCTTTTTAATAATATCTGATTCCATTTGCAAAGGAAGAAATCTTCGGAGCCAGGCTGTGCTTTCATCTTCGCTCTCGGGTCAACCCAAAGCTTCCCCAAGCTGTCTTACAAGAAGCGAACGGGAGGGACGGGGCCCTGGCTGGGGGAGGGAGGATGGAAGCTAGCCAGAGGGTGCTCCTGCTAACACCCCATCGTCACCCCGATACAGTCACAAGGGGCAACTGAGAGCGGCAGCCGTGCCTGAGGCTCGGAGGCCCCGGGCCCTGGGTAAAGCTCAGAGAGGATGGCACTGTTGCCCACCCCCTGCCCGCCTGAGCCCACGATGGAAGACCAGCCTGGGACACGTCCCTCCTGGGACACGTCGCCCCTGGGACACCGAGCCGGTCACAGGCAGTTTTGGGGCCCACGGGGCTCAGCAGCACCACAGCCTCTTACCTCCCCGCACCTGTGAGGCCACAGGCCAGTGACGGGGGGGCGTTTCTGAACCCGGGATTTCTGACCTCTAAACTGGAGGTGCAAGCAGCCCCCCTCCCTGGGAACATCACGGAGACTCTGTGAGCGGTGCCCAGGCTCCAGCGCATAAAGCGAGGAGGGAGACGTTGGCGTCCGGGCCTTGCAGAAAATTTAAGTGTAACATTTGTAAAAATGGCCTTTTTTGGTGGAGATTATCATTCTTTTTTACGATCGCAAAAGGACCTTTTTTAATAAAAGGCTGACCGTTTCTATTTACTTTTCTCTCCTTCCTGGTACTTCTTATTAATACCTTTTTTCGTGTTTTTATAGCTTGATTGTTTGGTGTGTTTTGGCTGGTTGGTTTTAACGACCTCACTTAGCAGAGGGGAAGGTGGACGGTCTTCTGTTCAGGCCGCTTTTTCGAGGGTTACTGCTCCAGCCGCCTGGGGACACCGTGTGGAAGGGAGGCGTGGGCCGCGTCTCGCAGCTGAAGTGTGGCGACTGTTGATTCATCACTCTGGGATGAAGAGGGTGGCAGTGGTGATGGGTCCGATCAGAACTTGTGCAAAGCAGAACTGACAACTCCTGGAAAAAAGCTCACTGGTCCCAGCTTGGCATAGCCTGGCAGCTGGCAGCCAAGAGCCTGTTGGCAAATCTCCTGGGGAAACCCTAGGACACCGGGACAGACAGCGATGTCCTGACCCCTGAGGTCCGCTGCGGGGCTGTCCATCCCCAGGGGAAAGGTGAGGGGAATGCACCCCTCCATATCCGAGGGCACAGCCCCCAAGTCTCCCTGCCTGGACCTCACCAACCCTGGCCCTCCCTGCTCCCCAGCTTCAGCTGCTCCAGCACAGATCATAGGCCCCCCCAGGGGCTCCCAGTGCCTCAGGTCAGTGCATCCCAGCCCCAGTCCCACCTCCAGAAAGGAGCTTGCCCCGCCTGGCAGACCCCGCTGGGTCCTCCGTGAAGCTGCCTCGGCATCGGCCCAGCACTGCTGTTCCCAGGCCGCTTTCTGGGCCCCTGAGCACAGGTCGCGCTGCCTGTGGGAGGGACCCCATTGCTCAGGGACCCGATCCCTGGTGCTGTTCATCTGCGAGGTGACCTGGCGGCCTCCGCCCTCGGTCCGCCTGACCGCTGCACCTCACAGCTGCCTGCTTCGCTCACGGCCGTCTCGTCTGCCCCCAGGTACATGATCAGCAGCCTGGACCGCACCCACGCCGGCTTCTACCGCTGCATCGTGAGGAACAGGATGGGCGCACTGCTGCAGCGGCAGACGGAGGTGCAGGTGGCCTGTGAGTACCGGCATGCGGGGGTGGGAGGGCGGCGAGGCCGTGGGGGTCCAGCCCACCACCGTCGGTCGTCCAGGCTGCCTGGCAGCTCGCCGTGACCCCTCCCACCTCCCTGCCCTGTGCACGCATCTGCATTGAGCCAGGTTGATAGTTCCAAGGTCCAGAGAGGTGGCGGGGACTCTCAGGCCGCCCCACTGACACACACCTGTGACGCTGAGTTAAATGGGACCAGACGCTGTTGCAAAGGGGGAGCAATGCCACCACCTGCCTGGAGGGCTTCCCCTGGGCTGGCCCACACTTGAGGGGCCGTCATCACAGCCCCCCCCCAGCCTCTCCAGCGAGCAGACTTCTCGGGTTCCCATTGCCTTAGCGTGTTCATCCTCCTGCTCACCCGGCCCTGGAGCAGTCACAGTGTGGAGGGTCCCTACAGTTCTCGGGGGGTACGGGGCAATGGCTGCTGGTGGGAACTGGGACTTTAGGAGGGAAAGGGGGTGACAAACTGGATTCCCAGGCGGGCCAGGAGGGAGAGGACAGCGGTTGAGCTTTGGGGTCAATGGCTTCTCCCCGGTGCCAGCACCCCCAGAAGGACATCCTCCGGCCAAGAGGGCAGGGCAGCTTCAGAAGAACCCAAATGCAGCTCACGAACTGGCCCCAGAGAGCCCGCCACACCCACCCTTGCCGCTCAGTGTCCCCTCCGGCTTGCAGCCTAAAACAGCTGCTCGCGTGTGAGCCCGCGGCTGGCTTTCCCAGTCCCAGCATTTTAGGGGGAAAGGTCCGAGATCACATCATGGGAGCTGGGAGCGTGCAGAGCTGTAGCGAACCCCGAAAAGGCCACCCATCCCCCTAAAGCCCACGGGGCTGGCCTCTGATGTGGCCCAGAGAGAGATGGCCACGTGGAGGGATGGGGGAAGAGAAGTCAAAAAGAAAATTTCAGGTGAGGCCACGAGTGTTTATCATAATTATGGAAAACCACCGTGATCAAAGCGGGGGGGTGGGCTGCCCCACAAACCAGCACCGAACACGGCTCAGCCCACTCCGAGGCGCAGGACAGCCGGGATTAGAATGATGGATGGCCGTTGGCCGCGGGCCTGGGCTCCGTGACCGCCCCTAGCCGCCCCAGCCGGGAGGTGGGAGTGAGGCCAGAGGGCCTGCGTGGGCGCCGCGGGCTGCCTGGGGCCGGGAAGTGCGCGAGTGTGCCCGTGTGCCGCCCCGGGGTGCAGGCTGGAGGAGGGGTGCGGATGTGGGGGTGTGGTCTGTTGCAAGCCCTTGGCCCATCGGTGAGCACAGAGACTTTGGGGAGTTGCGGGCCCCTGAGAGGACAGCCCCCCCGCCGCGGCCTCCGCTGATCTGCCGGGAACAGGAGGGAGGTGGGGTCCGGGCGCAGCTTGCTCCCTGGGCTGCCGCAGGCCGTGTGCCACACCCCGCCAGGCCGGCCCTCCCACACTGCCCTTGCACACGCAGACCCAGCGTGGGCACAGGTGTCCTCGCGCCCCGGCTGTGTGCAGGCCAGCAAACGAGGCACCCCCAAAGCTCCTGGCATGCCCTCCTGCCGGGGAGCAGGGTAAGACTTCCCAGGGTGGGGGGTAGGGTAGACATAGGTAGTCGAAGTCACACTACCAACACTCTGACCCTGCACCCACAGACCTGAAGTGGGCCACCCTGAGCTCCCCCTTCCCACACTTGGGGTTCAGGACCCTTCTGGAGGCTACCAGCAGGGGTGACCTCAGAGAGGCCCAAAGTTGAGAGAGCTTCAGGATGCACAGATGCCAAGATCAGAAGTGATAGAAAAGGGGTTGAGGGTGGGGGACAGGGTCTGACAGGGCTGGCAGTCTGGGGGTGCCCAGCACCAGGAGAGGCTTAAGAGCGAGGGCAGCTTTGGTGTCCAGCCACATTTGAATGCTGCCTCTACCCTTGATGGCTGTGCGACCCTGAGACGGTGACTCACCCTCTCTGAGCCTCACCCAGCTCAGGCTTCTCTGTAATGTGTGTCCCGTAACCCGAGGCTTGCCTGAGAATTCCTGAAGCATGGGTGCGGTGCAGGCCCCACAGCCGAGATGTTCCAGGAGCTGCATCAGAACCTCCAGAACAATCCACCCCCTCCCCGCACAGTGTAACCTTGCAAATGCCTTGCCTCCGTGCGGTCCTGGGGCCGATCTGCGAGATAGGACTGCATGGGTTAGGCTCTAAGGAAACTGAGGCTCAGAAAAGTGAGAGGACACCCACGGTCCCACAGCCAGCACGTCTACCTTCTCCCTTCTCCCTTCTCCCGGGTCGCTGCCTTCACACAGGCCTCCAGGAACCCTGGTTCAGATCCTGATGCTGCTCTCCCTAACTGTATGACCTTGGGCAAGTTACTTAACTTCTCTGTGCCTTCACTACCTTGTGTGTAAAAGGAATGTGAATTTTAGTAGCTACCTGGTTGCCTGCACCCCACGGACAGGCACCAGCCCAGACACTGTGGGGGAGCAGGCTGGCTTTGCCCTGCAAAGGGAAGACATGTGGCAGACGCTGGGCCCTGCCGCTTCTGCCCCGCCCCCGCCCCCGCCCCAGCTCAAGACTGTGCCCAGCAACGCTCCTGACCGTCCAAGCCCCTCCGCTCCCCTCCAGGGGGCATCCACCTTCCAGGGTGGGCGCCAGTTCCGCGCTGCCTTTGGGGTTGGGGATCTGTCGGGGATTGGATGGGGCCAGGCAGGCCCCACCCTCGCTCCCACCCCCCTTCCCAACAGGAACTGTGAATTGGGTTCTAATGAGAAATTAATAAGGCAGCTGTGCTAACAACTAATGATAATGGCAAAGTCGTTACAAAAAGCTTCTTTACATGTTTTTAATTACTGCAATTAAGGGGAAGTCAATAAAACATCAACCCCCTCCCCAGCCCGTCCGGTCCTCACTCGGAATCTCTTCTTTGTTTCTTTGAAAGTCGCCATAAATTCCTAGCACGCAGAAGTGGGCTGAATGTCTAAGAGGGCTGGGAGATTCCTCTAGAACCAGTTTCTCTCGAGCTATTACTTGTCCAGACCCAGATTCTGGGGCACCTCTGAGTTCACCGCCCCCCTCCCCGGGTTCCCGGGCCCTCACCAGGTAGGCCCGGCCCGACACCGGCCCAGCCATGGGCACCGGCCAGGCCCCTGCCCCGCCTGGCCCGCTGCCCTTTCTTCAGAACCAGCCTTGAGGGCATCAAGCCATTGTCTTGATGTGGGCTGGGGCTGACTCCCTGAATGCCACCCATGGGCCCCATTTTCTTAGAGTGTGAGTGTTGAACGAGAAATCTGGGGCTTTGCGGAAATCTGGGGCTTTGCGACAGTCCAGGGGTAACTGTTTGACCTGGGTGTTTTATCTCCTCATGAAATACCTGCTGCTGCTGCCTGCAGTCCCTGGCTCTCCTCTGAGCACTGAGGACAAACCCAGACACGCAGCCCTGCCCTGAGGAAGGTGGGGGCAGCAGAGTGACCAGGAGAATCTGCGATAGCTTCTAGGGAGCCCGAAGAGGAGGAAAGTGTAACAAGGAGAAAGGAAGCCAGGTGGGGTGAGGGGCAGGGCAGGGCCGGCTGCTAAGGTGGCCAAGGAAGGTTGCTCCAAGGAGGTGGTCACCAGGGTCACCAGCGATGGGGGGTCATTCCAGCAAGGGCAAAGGCCGTGGGGTGCTTGGGTGTCAGAGGCCTGGCCAGGGAGACCACGGCAGAGGGAGCAGAGGGGTGAGGGGAGGACCTGAGGCTGGGAGCTGGCGCTGGGGCAGACGGTGGCATCCAAGCTCTGGTCAGCCCTTCAGTGTGACTCAGAATGGAAGGCGGGCGAGGCTGATTGGAGGCAGAGCACGACGCGACCTGGCTGCAGGAGAAGCATTGCTTTCATAATTGACAAACACAAACCCACAGTGAAATATCATCCCACCTCCCCAGCTGGGCAGAAACCAGAGTCTAGGAAGACTGAGCGTTGGCAGAATCTCTTGGCTGCTAGCAGAGTGTAAATTGATCGATTGGTGCAAATTTGGAAAACAGTTTGACATTAGCTCGTAGAAGTCACGTGTGCGCCGGCCAGTCCAGCCAGGCCGGTGTTAGAGCGGCCATCCGGAGACCCTCCGAGCAGGTCAGGGCGCGTGAGGTCAAGCCGGCCGGCAGAGCCCTGTGCTCCATCGGGCCGTCGCGTGACTCCGGCGGAGGACACACACAGTCAGGCTGCACGAAAGCAGCAGATTACATGGGCACAGCATCCGGTGGCTCTGGAGAGGGCGGGCAGGTAGAAGATGAGGGGGTCCGTGGGGGGGTGTTCTGTTCCTTGCACTGGGTGGTGGGGACCCGCGTGTTCATTCTGTTCTGTAGACTCTACATGAAGTTACATTTGCTCTTTTGTATGCATGACATACTTCTCACTAAAAAAGAAAAAAATGTTTTAAAAATTAATGAAAGCAACGAATTGATTCTGAAGGGTAATATATACTTTACTAACCCTTGGAAGATATAACAAAGGCATCAGAAATCATTTGTAGGCCACACCCAGCTGTGCTGCAGGCTACTTCTTTGCTTTGGAGAATTTGTTGAGAAAGTTGGATCAGTGCTGCCAGGCATAACAGTGTATTAACAGGCACGTGATCCAGAGAGGAAGGGTAGGAAATAAACCCTTATTTGTTTCTGTCTTAGTGAGTGAGTTTTCCTAGGAGATCCCAGGCCCCAGGCCACTGTTAGTACAGGGCCCTCCATTCTAGCCTTTCCCACACTGTCTGGCTAGGTGGGTGCATTCCTAGTAGCTCCTCGTCCTCCCTCCTTTCACTCATCATCCTTCCACTCATCCCGTGGCCTCCCACACATCCAGCTGTCTATCCATCCATTCATCCCTTCCACCTTCCACCCCCCCATCCTCCTTCCATCCATCCACCCATCCCTTAAGTCATCCAAGTATACATCTGTCATCCATCCACCCACCCACCCATCCACCCACCCAGCCATCCATCCATCCACCCACCCATCTACCCATCTATCCACCCACCAATCCAGCCACCCACCCACCTACCCACCCACCCATCCATC